ATCAAACAACCCAGGATAAAACCATTCCAACTAATGAATGGAAACATTATAAGGCTTCAAAGGAATTTAATGGGGGATCATGATTACCATAAACTTTTATGTATTCTTACCATTTCTTACACTAAGGAGACTATCTGGTATTTATACATGTAAGTTTGATTTATTTCGCTTATGAATAGGGTCTCAAGTTGCGTCCATTTATTTATAAATATCTCAATGTGGTCTTTCTTTATAGCTAAGTAGTACTCCATTGTATAAAAATACTACAACTTTTTTATCCATTCCTCATTTGCTTGACACTTAGGTTGTTTCTAAGATCTAGCTATTACAAATTGTGGTGCTATAAACATGGGTGCACATACATCACTGTGGCATGATGTTTTCAGTTTTGGGAATATGCCTAGAAGAGGAATAGCTGGATCAAATGGGACTTCCAATCCCAGCTTTTTGAGAAATCCCCAGACTGATTTCCACAATGGTTATACCAGTCTACACTCCCACCAACAGTGCAGGAGAGTTCCTTTTTCCCCACAGCCTCTCCAGCATTTGTTGTTGGTGGTTTTCTTGATCCTGGCCATTCTTTCTGGAGTGAGAAAGAATCTTAGTGTGGTTTTAATTTGCATTTCTCTAATGAGTAATGATGATGAACATTTTTTTCATGTATTTATTTGCCATTTGTATTTCTTCATCAGAGAACTGTGTATTCATCTCAGACACCCATTTTTGGATTGGGTCTTTGAATTTCGGGGGTTTGATTTTTTTTTTTTTTTTTAATTTTCCATATGTTTTAGACAGAAGTCCTTTGTCTGAGGGACAGTTCACTAAGATTTTTTCCCAGTTTGTGGGTTTTCTTTTCACTATGCTGGAGATTTCTTTTGATGTGCAGAAACTGTTTAATAAAACGTGATCCCAGTTAATGATTCTGGGTAGTATTTCCCGTGTAGTTTGATTCCTGTTCATGAATTCTCTACCTACTCCTATGTCTTCAAGATTTTTACCCAATTTGTCTTACAACAGATTTAGTGTTTCTGTTTTCATATTCAGATCTTTGATCCATTTAGATTTTAGTTTGGTATATGGTGATAAGTATGAGTCTAGTTTTAGGTTTCGGCATGTGGAGAGCCAGTTTTTCCAGCACCATTTATTAAAGAGACTGTCGGAGTACTTTGTCTTTCACCATATGATAGTTAAGCTTATGTGTTTGTTTTATTTCACTCAATGTTATATTTTCTAGATGCATCCATTTTCCTACAATTGTCTCACATTTCTCTTTGTGGGAGGGCCGGGGTCTCATTATGTAGTTTAAGCTGGCCTTGAACTTACTATGTAGCCCATGTTGGCCTTGAACTTTCTGTGATCTTTCTGCCTTAGCCTCCCAAGTGCTGGAATTACAGTGTGCGCCATCACACCAGCCTCAGATTTTTTTTAAAATAGCTGAATAGTATTCCATTATGTATAATTGTTGCTTTTTTTAAAATCCAATGATGTGTTGATGGTATACAGGTTGCTTCCAGAATTAAGCTATTGTGAATTGTGCTGCTATAAACATTGATTGAATATTTACAGATCTGTTGTTTAATAGGCTATCTTTCCTCCAGTGTATATGTTTTTGGCTTCTTTGTCAAAGATCAAATAGTTAAATGTGCCTGAGGATGTTTCTGTACCCTCAGTTCTGTTCCACTGATCCATGTATTTGTTTTTGTTTCAGTACCATGCTGGTGTTGCTGGTGTTTTTTTTTTTTTTATTACTTTTTTTGTAGTAAAGCTTGAAGTTAGGTTATGGGTGTTTTCTGGCTCCACATGAATTTTAGGATTGTGTTCTGTAGATCTGTAAAGTATACTGTAGGTGTTTTGATTGAGATTGCATTGATTCTGATAACATTTTTGGGACTATGACCCTTTTGACAGTTAACGTTTCAAATTTCAATATTATCTTCTGTCTCTTTTTTCAGAGTCCTTTAGGGTTTTTTTTTTTTTTTTTTTTAACAAGTCTTTTGTTAGGTCAATTCCTAGGTATGGTAAAACCTATTTGTGAGCGTAATTTGTTCTGGAAATGTCCAGTGCACTTGTATATCAAAGTGAAATTCCCTGTAAGAAATAACAGAAACTGACATGACTTATTCTATAGCCCTAAAGTATTTATTTCAAATCCATTACAGTGCTATAATATAATGCAAAATAATAAAGAACACAAATGTGAAGAGAAGTAAGAAATTAACCTGTGCTTATCTTTGAAAACTGCACGACAGGTTTTGAGGGAGAAAAGAAAGAAGAGGGTTATTGTGTTGGATGACTTTCAGTGTCATTAATGGAATTGCTATCTGTTGGCTCAATTGAGTTTTTTTCTTTTCATGCAACTTTAACAGGGAACCTATCCAGTGACACTTGTTTTTGCTTCTTTTTGAGTGTTTTGCTAAAATGTGCTATTGCAGTGTTGTTTGAACAAATTCATTGTCCACACCTCAGACTTATTCAGGTGATCCTTTTCCATGAAATTTCCCACTTTCCCACATTTTACACTCTCTCTATTCTCATTTGAAGTGAAGGATGCCTCCACCTTCTGCAGACAGAGATCTCCATAACCTCTTTCTACTAAGAGGTGATTGCCCACAGTGCCGCATATAGAATCATATAGTATATAACCTTTTGTGTCTGGTTTTTTCTATTACCTTATTTTCAAGATTCTTGCCGATTATGTACCCTCTGTCCCTCTAATGCTGGGGGTAGAACCAAGTTCCTCAAACTTGTTAGAGAGGAACTCTGTCCAGTGGTACTTCATTCTTGTTTTTGGGTGCATGAAATTCCATTATATGGATATATGGTTTGCTTATCTATGCATCTATTGGTGGACATTTGTATTGTTTCTACCTTTTGCTTATGGTGAGTAATACTATTTTTTCTGTGTTTTCCTTTTGCTTATGTAAATACCTGGGATGGAATTGCTAAATAATGTTTCAACCGCATGAACTTCTTTGGGTTTTGTTTTTGATTTTTGGTACTGCAAATCAAACTCAGGACTTTTGGCTTTCTAGAGAAGTGCTGAGCCATTGAGTTATATCCCGGCCCAACAGCATGAATTTAAGAGTTCATGTTGGAACTCTTCCATAGCCACTTCAGTATTTTATCTTTTCCCCTGGCACCCTATGAGAGTTTCAGATTTTCCCCTATCATCACTGGCATTTTATATTTTTTCATTGGGGTGAAATGTCTCTTCAGATCCTGACCTTTCTGTATTTAATACGATTTCTTAGGATGAAAGTGTATACCACAATACTCTGATACAATTTCCTCTCCCTCTGTATGTCTCATGTTTTTTGTTTCTCTGAGAGTAAATATGGTGACTTTCCAGGGGAATGGGAGATTCATTTTTTCTGTGAACCTTTGAAGAGCCTCCATTGAATAGTTTTTAGCTGTACTGCTTGCCTTATATTCTTTTTCGGTCCTAATACCACCCTGTGATTGAATTATTGAATCATTCATTTATTCATTTTTGGTACCAACTGTAAAAAGATGTTAATGGTGATACTAGGATGGGTCGGGAAAAGGGTAACCACCTGGTTCCAGCTGGTCATCTCAGCATTTCTTTCCTGCTTCTTTTTTTCACCTACCTGCTTCCTAGCCAGTTGCTCATGCTTCAGGATCATCTCTTAACTTATCTTCCTTTGCTTTCATTTTCCTCTTTTGGTCTTTGAATTACAAAAGGAGCATGAAATCCATTAGGCATTTCTTTTTTGTAACCAGTTCCTTCCACCTCTTTGGGTTTTTGTTTTGGGGCAAAGAAGATTGAAGCCTATGAAAAGCAAGCAGTAGGAAATAACTAAATATGTGTTTATTAGAAAACAAGTAAAAGAGCCCCCTTGTTGGAGGAGGAGTTTTCATAAAGTGAAAAAACTAGCTGTTCAGGGATGCTTCTCTTTGTAGGTGGGCCTTTGTTGTCTGGAATGCTAGCCCCCTTTGTTTGCCTTTTACTTCTTCCAAGATCTCCCTCATTTGATTAAGAACCTGTTTTTTTGACCTTTGCATTCTATTAGGCCCTGATAGTCAGTTTCTTTAAATTAATTATTCAAGTCTAGTGGATGCTGACTCACTTAAGCAATGACTTTTAGTTTACTTTAAGTTAATTGTTAAGGACCTATGCCCTCGCTGCCTAACTTCCCCTTGTCATTCCTATTTAACAGCTTCTAAGATCAGTATATTACTCTTTTTAGGAACTTTTTTGTTTGTTTTTGAGATAGGGTCTTGTTCTGTAGTTTAGGCTGGCCTTGAATTCACTATGTAGCCCAAACTGGGCTGGAACTCATGGAAATCCTCCTGCCCAGTGCTGGATTGCAGGTGTTTGCCACCACACCCAGCCCTTATATTGACTTTTGAACATAGCATTTATTTACTGTTTTATTTCTTCAGTTTGTTAGTGTCCCTGATTTGACTGAAATACTTAGGGAGAGAATCTTGAGAGATTTATGTTAAAGCATATTATCTAAGTGATAAGTGCTCAGCAGTGCAATTTTTACTGTACTCATGATAGAGAATAGGACTTTTGTTTGTTGTATGGGTTGGAGATGACGTAGATGGGTGGAATAGTGCTTGCCTAGACTTGATCTTGACCACTGCAAACCCCACCCCACACATACAAGGTGGCATATTTTTGAAAGTACTTTTATTCCAGGCATAAAGATGAACAAACTAGTCAGTGTTCCCAAGGAGTGTCAGCTATTTGAAGGGATAGGATCAAATAATTATTATCACGTAGAAAAGTATGTCCAAAAGGCTTGTAAAGTTATTGTGAACAGAAGACAGTGTTACAGAGATTATGTCTTACATTCAGTTATCAGACATTTCTGATGGGTTTAAGTAGTATAGCTTTCAAGGGGGCATTGGATTGGATTTAGTGTAAACTGTTTCTTTTGGATGTGTATACTAACAAATACTTAGCATAATCATAAAAGACTGCCAGTATTCATCAAAACTACTTTCATTAAGATATTAATTTTCTCTGACAGATATGCCAAGAGTTTAATAGCACCTGGGCCTGGGAGATGGAGAAGAAGGGCTATCTTGAAATGAGTGTTGAATGCAAACTAGCTCTCCTAAAGGTAACGAACGTGCCATGTGTTACTATTATTTTACTTTAAAATTTTACTTTTGATTCCTGGTCAAATTAGAAAATAAGTGTAAAATAGATACATTTATTGTGAGAAGAGAACAACATATTCTTTCCTTTTTAGTTTTCCTGACAGGGACAGTCTTTACTTTTTAAAAATTATCTTTAAAGCTTCTCAATATTAATTTTGTTTATGGGGACAATAATAGAATTAACAAGCAGTTACCTTCAATTATGATGATTCATTGTTTTCAGTTTTCACACTTATTATTGTAAACTGTGGTTAACCGTCTACCGATTTTCTTTCTTTCTTTCTTTCTTTCCTGCCTTCCGTCCGTCTGTCCGTCCATCCTTCCTTCCTTCCTTCCTTCCTTCCTTGTACCAGGGGTTGAACCCATGATCTTGCACTTGCCAAACAGCCACTTGTGCCACTGGGCTAGACCTCTGGCCCCTCTATTGATTTTCTAAATTAGTAATTTGATATTGTTTTCCAGATGACTAAAGGTGTACCATTGCATACTCACATAGTGAAAAGTACTTGATTAAAATACATCAACCCAATGTAGATTTATTTTCAAGTTTGAAATTCTCTGTTTTTCCCATCCACTTTGTAATTAGTAATAATGTGGTCAACATAATACAGAGGAAAAAAATACACCTTTTGAAGCAATTAATGAGGTCTTAAGCACTTCTAAAATTTACAAGGTTCAGGGGCTGGGGATTTAGCTCAGCGGCATAAGCGCCTGCCTTGCAAGCAGGCAGTCGTGAGTTCGATCCCTGGTACCGATAAAAACAAAAACAAAAAAAAAAAAAAAAAAAAGACCAAAAAAAATAAAATTTACAAGGTTCAGCCAGGTGTGGTGGTACATGCCTGGTAATCCCAGCACTTGGAAGCTGAGGTGGAAAATTTGCTATGAGTTCAAGGGTGGCTTGGGCTACATAAAGTATTGAGTTAGTAATAATGTGGTCAACATAATACAGAGGAAAAAAATACACCTTTTGAAGCAATTAATGAGGTCTTAAGCACTTCTAAAATTTACAAGGTTCAGCCAGGTGTGGTGGTACATGCCTGGTAATCCCAGCACTTGGAAGCTGAGGTGGAAAATTTGCTATGAGTTCAAGGGTGGCTTGGGCTACATAAAGTATTGAGTTCAGAGCCAACCTGAACTATACCGTGAGACTCTAGCCCATACAAAACAAAACAAAATAAATAAAAAAAGAAATTTATAATATTTCCTAGGTAGGGTCATTTAGAGAACCCTAAGATCTTAGGAAGATTATTAAACTACAATGTCAGTGTATGTATTTTTTTTTTTTGGAAGATAGGATATATCTATAGAGTAGATATTATTTTGCTCTTAGCTGTTAATTTTGCTTCTGTATCCTGCATGAAAGTTAACAAAATGTATACAATATGTTTTTAAGCAATCCAAGCATTATGGTGAACTCGTATTTCAGAGTGTATTGCCATGTAGGTTTGTCTGTCCCCAGACCAGTTTGTGTAGTCCCAGAGGAGTGAATGTGTTAGAGCATCAAGACAAAAGTAGAAGTTTTACTTATAACTGCTAAAAATGTACAAGAATATAACTTTTTGTTGTAAGAATTTTTGTTACAACTTTTTACATTTCTGTAACATGTATGCTGTAATGTTGATAAAGAAGCAGGTATATAATAAATATGTAAGTGCACATTATAAAATTTTCAGTGATTTGGACACTTGATGAAAAATGTTTAGAGAAAATGCTTGTTTAATATGTGCAAGGCCCTGAGTTTGATCCCATTGCTTCCAGGAAAGAGTCGGAGAAAAAAAGTTTAGTGGCTAATGGGATGGCTGATTTAAGCATAAGCAAATGTGTTACAATAGAAATTTCATGTATTATCTGCCTGAACACGGATACTCAAGTAAGAAATTTGGCTGTATTCCCTAATCCTATAGTAAATGTACAACAGAGTATTTTAGCTTTAGAGATGTGCGTTTTTTTTTTTTTTTGGAGAATTTTCCTGCTATCATTGAAAGATTTACTTCCTTAAAAACTTGAATATGTATCAGTTTGGTGAAACAGAGTCCTTCCTGAATAATACTCATTTAAAAGCTAAAGGGGATAAAGACGTGCTGAAGTTTACTATAGTGACTCTTGAGTGACCAATTGATCAAAAAAAGAGATAATTAAAAACACAAATTAGCTGGTGATGGTGGCACAGACCTGTAATCCCAACATTTGGAAGGCTGAGGCAGTTGGATTATGGCAAATTCAAGGCAGCCTGGTCTATATAGTGAGTTCAAGGCCTGCCTGAAATACATAATGAGACCTTGTCTTAAATAAAACCAAAGTGCATAAATTAGAAAACAGCTCAAGATAAATAAAAATGAAAACAATATACATATGGGATACAACAAAAACAGTAGTAAGAGGGACGTCATCGGTAAACGTCAATGTGAAAAATGGAGAGAGAACTGAAACCACCTCACTTTACTAGCCAAGAAAATAGTAAAAGAACACAGTGAAACCAAAGTTAGCAGAAGAAAGAAACGTACAAAAGTTAGAGCAGAAATTAATGAAATAATAAATTGAAAAAAGTGAATGTTGGTCAGAAACTACAAACAAAGCTGCCTTCGCTTCTAGCCAACTGTGTGCTTGTAGATTCCACACCCTGGCTGTAGCCATCCACCAGCTCCAACCAGTGTTTTGGTTCCCCTTGGCTAGGGGCAATAGATTCACTGAGCAACCCACTGCCACGTGATTGTGAATAGTCCAGTGCCCTAGGAGAAAGGCTGCTGGAAAAATAGACCAGGGAAAGCAGTGCTAGCCCCAAGAAAACCCCAGAGCTATGGTAAACTACAAAACCTTCATGGGATGTTACCTCAGAAGTGACTCCTGCTGGATGTAGTATGCATGCCTGTAACCCCAGCACTTGGAAGACTGAGGTGGGAAGAAGGCTGTGAGTTTGAGGCCAGCCTGGGCTGCACTGTGAGTCCTTGCCTCAAAAAAAGAAAAAAAAAAAAAAAAGACTTCTTCATAGCAGGCTAGAGTTGGAGAAGAAATCTAGTACACTACTTTCCTACTGGGGAACGTTTAAGCCAGAGCTACTTTGGGAACCATTGTGGAACATCAATGTAGGGTCTCCAGTGTTATTCTATTACATTGATTAATTGAAGGACAGTCTCAAAAGACAGCTGCTCAGTGTGTGTTGGATGGGCTTAGACTCATTAGTTAGTTTAAAGTAAGGATAGGAAAGACGCAGGTGCTGTGAGAAGCCAGCTCTTGGGAAGGTGGGTTTCAAAAGCAACTGAATATGAAAGTATGGTCGTTAAGCCCTGTGCACTACTTTGAATCCCTATCTTGTTTCCTGTATTCTGCAGAGACTAATAGTCTCCTTGCTTTCCTCTCAACCAACATGAGCAGAGACCCTGCATGTCCTAGGAAGCATCATTTACAATACACTCATTGAAGCATACAGAGGGATTTATTTTTTAAGTGTGTGACTTTTTCCTTCATTGGTTTAATTGGGTTTGGGTTTTTCTCCCTTTCTGTTTCTCCTTTTAATTGTTGTTGTTAGGATCTCACAATGTAGTTCAGGCTGGCCTTGAACTTTCAGCTGATCCTCTTGTCTCAGCCTTCTGAGTGCTGGAATGACAGGTATGCACCACTATGCCTGGCTTTTTTCTCTTTATTTCGTTAGTTTTTTTCTTTTTATTTGTTCATTTGTTACTTTTATCTAATGTTACCAATTTCCTTTTGCTCCTTAATAGTATCCTTTAGATCACTTTTTTATTATCCATTTCATCTTCCATTGATTAATTTTTGAAGTTGTACTTCTTTTGTTTTGCCTTTTCCTCCTCCGTTTCTACTAGTATAACCATTATGCTTTATAGTCTTTAGAAAGTTGCTTCTGTAACATTACCATTGAATACTTTTCTGTTGTTGGTGAAGGTATACTTATTGCATTTAGTAGATTTTTTTTTTTTTTTTTTTTTTTGATACCTGGATTGAACTTAGGATCTTGCCCTTGCCAGGCAGGCACATATGCCACTGAGCTATATCCCTGGCAGCAAATCTTTACTTTATGTCAATATTAAGTGTGTCTTAGTTTTCATACTGTGCTGTCTTTTCTGTGTTTAAGGGTGCTACATTAGTGGTTCTTAGAGTATGCCAGTATCTAGTTTGTCTCTGATGTTCTTCTTATTGCTTGATTTTATTGCTGTCACCAGGTTGTCATAGTTATTGCTGTTAATTGGTTTCCACTGTAAGGCCTTACCTGTATTATCATTGTGGCATAAACAATACTGTAGCCCATTCCTGGAGAAATGTGTCTTGGATTCATTACACTTAAGCTTCCTCTCCTAAATTAACAGATGAGTTTGGATTTTGGGGATGCCCTGGTTAGCCATGACCAGACTCCATCACTGAAGAGCAGACACTAACTAAAGGTCTTTATACTAGAATACAAGACTTTCCACTATAATCAACACGCAAACCTCAGAGAAAAACAAATATGAAAAGATAAGGCAATAAAATGCCAGCAAACACTTCCCTAATCCCCCAAAGCTAATCCATGGTACATCAAAAGGGAGGAAATAAAAACTCATAGGGCTGAATTTTTCAAATGATAAAAGAGGAGGTAAAAAACAAAAATAAGGTGTTCAGTAAGCTTGGAGAAGATATAACTAGATAGATAATGGACATAATAAGGAAAACAATGAGCATGTTTGTAAAAATCACTAATAAAATGCTAAACGAACTAAATAAAAGGATACAAAACATGAGTTACCATTTTAGCAAATAATTTGAGCCCATGAAAAAGTACCCCCAAAAAATTCAGGACATAAATATGTTTTTTAAAAGTCTGGGTAGCAGAGGTGAGGAACGTGAGGGCAAAGTGTCAGAACTAGAAGATAAGACGTGTTGGTGACGAGTTATTGAGTACTGCCTTAAAAACAACAGTAGAACATGACAAATGGATGCAACGGATGCTTGGTATTATGAAGTAATT